CGCTCATCTCATATTCATAGTCAGTAAGTAGTATGTGAGCGTGTGTGTGGACGACATTTTCGAGGAAGCACACGACCGGTTTGGCGGTTGTTGCCGCTCATCAGCTATGCTCACTCGGTACTCCTATGCCCACTCGTCTTCTGACTTGTACACTCCGATGATCTTTTATGTTCAATAGGATCTAATTTGAATCTACTCGAGTGTGAATGTATACCGTTGATTGAAGTGCCGACAAATGAATGAGAAATGTCATTTCTCGTAGTTATCCGTGTCTGTGTCACTGCTAACCCAACGAACAACGAGTTTGCATTCGCAAGCGCTCATCTCATATTCATAGTCAGTAAGTAGTATGTGAACGTGTGTGTGGACGACATTTTCGAGGAAGCACACGACCGGTTTGGCGGTTGTTGCCGCTCATCAGCTATGCGTACTCGGTATTCCTATGCCCACTCGTCTTCTGACTTGTACACTCCGATGATCTTTTATGTTCAATAGGATCTAATTTGAATCGTCTCGATTGTGAATGGATACTGTTGATTGAAGTGGCGACAAATGAATGAGAATTGTCATTTCTCGTAGTTATTCGTGTCTGGGTCACTGCTAACCCAACGAACAACCAGTTTGCATTTGCAAGCGCTCATCTCATATTCATAGTCAGTAAGTAGTATGTGAACGTGTGTGTGGACGACATTTTCGAGGAAGCACACGACCGGTTTGGCGGTTGTTGCCGCTCATCAGCTATGCGTACTCGGTACTCCTCTGCCCACTCGTCTTCTGACTTGTACACTCCGATGATCTTCTATGTTCAATAGGATCTAATTTGAATCGTCTCGATTGTGAATGGATACTGTTGATTGAAGTGCCGTCGAATGAATGAGAATTGTCATTTCTCGTAGTTATTCGTGTCTGGGTCACTGCTAACCCAACGAACAACGAGTTTGCATTTGCAAACGCTCATCTCATATTCATAGTCAGTAAGTAGTATGTGAACGTGTGTGTGGACGACATTTTCGAGGAAGCACACGACCGGTTTGGCGGTTGTTGCCGCTCATCAGCTATGCGTACTCGGTACTCCTCTGCCCACTCGTCTTCTGACTTGTACACTCCGATGATCTTTTATGTTCAATAGGATCTAATTTGAATCGTCTCTATTGTGCATGGATACTGTTGATTGAAGTGCCGTCGAATGAATGAGAATTGTCATTTCTCGTAGTTATTCGTGTCTGGGTCACTGCTAACCCAACGAACAACGAGTTTGCATTTGCAAGCGCTCATCTCATATTCATAGTCAGTAAGTAGTATGTGAACGTGTGTGTGGACGACATTTTCGAGGAAGCACACGACCGGTTTGGCAGTTGTTGCCGCTCATCAGCTATGCGTACTCGGTACTCTTCTCTCCACTCGTCTTCTGACTTGTACACTCCGATGATCTTTTATGTTCAATAGGATCTAATTTGAATCTACTCGATTGTGAATGGATACTGTTGATTGAAGTGGCGACAAATGAATGAGAAATGTCATTTCTCGTAAATAACTGTGTCTGTGTCACTGCTAACCCAACTAACAACGAGTTTGCATTTGCAAGCGCTCATCTCATATTCATAGTCAGTAAGTAGTACGTGACCGTGTGTGTGGACGACATTTTCGAGGAAGCACACGACCGGTTTGGCAGTTGTTGCCGCTCATCAGCTGTGCTTACTGGGTACTCCTCTGCACACTCGTCTTCCGACTTGTACACTCCGATGAACTTTTATGTTCAATAGGATCTAATTTGAATCGTCTCGATTGTGAATGGATACTGTTGATTGAAGTGCCGACAAATGGATGAGAGTTGTCATTTCTCGTAGTTATTCGTGTCTGGGTCACTGCTAACCCAACGAACAACGAGTTTGCATTTGCAAGCGCTCATCTCATATTCATAGTCAGTAAGTAGTATGTGAACGTGTGTGTGGACGACATTTTCGAGGAAGCACACGACCGGTTTGGCGTTTGTTGCCGCTCATCAGCTATGCGTACTGGGTACTCCTATGCCCACTCGTCTTCTGACTTGTACACTCCGATGATCTTCTATGTTCAATAGGATCTAATTTGAATCTACTCGATTGTGAATGGATACTGTTGATTGAAGTGCCGTCGAATGAATGAGAATTGTCATTTCTCGTAGTTATTCGTGTCTCGAACAATACTAACCCAACGAACAACGAGTTCGCATTTGCAAGCGCTCATCTCATATTCATAGTCAGTAAGTAGTATGTGAACGTGTGTGTGGACGACATTTTCGAGGAAGCACACGACCGGTTTGGCGGTTGTTGCCGCTCATCAGCTATGCGTACTCGGTACTCCTCTGCAAACTCGTCTTCTGACTTGTACACTCCGATGAACTTTTATGTTCAATAGGATCTAATTTGAATCGTCTCGATTGTGAATGGATACTGTTGATTGAAGTGGCGAGAAATGAATGAGAGTTGTCATTTCACGTAGTTATTCGTGTCTCGAACACTGCTAACCCAACGAACAACGAGTTTGCATTTGCAAGCGCTCATCTCATATTCATAGTCAGTAAGTAGTATGTGAACGTGTGTGTGGACGACATTTTCGAGGAAGCACACGACCGGTTTGGCGGTTGTTGCCGCTCATCAGCTATGCGTACTCGGTACTCCTCTGCCCACTCGTCTTCTGACTTGTACACTCCGATGATCTTTTATGTTCACTAGGATCTAATTTGAATCGTCTCGATTATGAATGGATACTGTTGATTGAAGTGGCGACAAATGAATGAGAATTGTCATTTCTCGTAGTTATTCGTGTCTGGGTCACTGCTAACCCAACGAACAACGAGTTTGCATTTGCAAGCGCTCATCTCATATTCATAGTCAGTAAGTAGTATGTGAACGTGTGTGTGGACGACATTTTCGAGGAAGCACACGACCGGTTTGGCGGTTGTTGCCGCTCATCAGCTATGCGTACTCGGTACTCCTATGCCCACTCTTCTTCTCACTTGTACATTCCGATGATCTTTCATGTTCAATAGGATCTAATTTGAATCGTCTCGATTGTGAATGGACACTGTTGATTGAATTGCCGAGAAATGAATGAGAATTGTCATTTCTCGTAGTTATTCGTGTCTAGGTCACTGCTAACCCAACGAACAACGAGTTTGCATTTGCAAGCGCTCATCTCATATTCATAGTCAGTAAGTAGTATGTGAACGTGTGCGTGGAGGACATTTTCGAGGAAGCACACGACCGGTTTGGCGGTTGTTGCCGCTCATCAGCTATGCGTACTCGTTACTCCTATGCCCACTCGTCTTCTGACTTGTACACTCCGATGATCTTTTATGTTCAATAGGATCTAATTTGAATCGTCTCGATTGTGAATGGATACTGTTAATTGAATTGCCGACAAATGAATGAGAGTTCTCATTTCTCGTAGTTATTCGTGTCTGGGTCACTGCTAACCCAACGAACAACGAGTTTGCATTTGCAAGCGCTCATCTCATATTCATAGTCAGTAAGTAGTATGTGAACGTGTGTGTGGACGACATTTTCGAGGAAGCACACGACCGGTTTGGCGGTTGTTGCCGCTCATCAGCTATGCGTACTCGGTACTCCTATGCCCACTCTTCTTCTCACTTGTACATTCCGATGATCTTTCATGTTCAATAGGATCTAATTTGAATCGTCTCGATTGTGAATGGACACTGTTGATTGAATTGCCGAGAAATGAATGAGAATTGTCATTTCTCGTAGTTATCCGTGTCTGCGTCACTGCTAACCCAACGAACAACGAGTTTGCATTTGCAAGCGCTCATCTCATATTCATAGTCAGTAAGTAGTATGTGAACGTGTGCGTGGAGGACATTTTCGAGGAAGCACACGACCGGTTTGGCGGTTGTTGCCGCTCATCAGCTATGCGTACTCGGTACTCCTATGCCCACTCGTCTTCTGACTTGTACACTCCGATGATCTTTTATGTTCAATAGGATCTAATTTGAATCGTCTCGATTGTGAATGGATACTGTTGATTGAATTGCCGACAAATGAATGAGAGTTCTCATTTCTCGTAGTTATTTGTGTCTGTGTCACTGCTAACCCAACGAACAACCAGTTTGCATTTGCAAGCGCTCATCTCATATTCATAGTCAGTAAGTAGTATGTGAACGCGTGTGTGGACGACATTTTCGAGGAAGCACACGACCGGTTTGGCGGTTGTTGCCGCTCATCAGCTATGCGTACTCGGTACTCCTATGCCCACTCGTCTTCTGACTTGTACACTCCGATGATCTTTTATGTTCACTAGGATCTAATTTGAATCGTCTCGATTGTGAATGGATACTGTTGATTGAAGTGGCGACAAATGAATGAGAATTGTCATTTCTCGTAGTTATTCGTGTCTGGGTCACTGCTAACCCAACGAACAACGAGTTTGCATTTGCAAGCGCTCATCTCATATTCATAGTCAGTAAGTAGTATGTGAACGTGTGTGTGGACGACACTTTCGAGGAAGCACACGACCGGTTTGGCGGTTGTTGCAGCTCATCAGCTATGCGTACTCGGTACTCCTCGGCCCACTCGTCTTCTGACTTGTACACTCCGATGATCTTTTATGTTCAATAGGATCTAATTTGAATCGTCTCGATTGTGAATGGATACTGTTGATTGAAGTGGCGACCAATGAATGAGAGTTGTCATTTCTCGTAGTTATTCGTGTCTGGGTCACTGCTAACCCAACGAACAACGAGTTGCATTTGCAAGCGCTCATCTCATATTCATAGTCAATAAGTAGTATGTGAACGTGTGTGTGGACGACATTTTCGAGGAAGCACACGACCGGTTTGGCGTTTGTTGCCGCTCATCAGCTATGCGTACTCGGTACTCCTCTGCCCACTCGTCTTCTGACTTGTACACTCGGATGATCTTTTATGTTCAATAGGATCTAATTTGAATCTACTCGAGTGTGAATGGATACTGTTGATTGAAGTGGCGACAAATGAATGAGAAATGTCATTTCTCGTAGTTATCCGTGTCTGGGTCACTGCTAACCCAACGAACAACGAGTTTGCATTTGCAAGCGCTCATCTCATATTCATAGTCAGTAAGTAGTATGTGAACGTGTGTGTGGACGACATTTTCGAGGAAGCACACGACCGGTTTGGCGGTTGTTGCCGCTCATCAGCTATGCGTACTCGGTACTCCTATGCCCACTCGTCTTCCGACTTGTACACTCCGATGATCTTTTATGTTCAATAGGATCTAATTTGAATCGTCTCGATTGTGAATGGACACCGTTGATTGAAGTGGCGACAAATGAATACGAATTGTCATTTCTCGTAGTTATCCGTGTCTGTGTCACTGCTAACCCAACGAACAACGAGTTTGCATTTGCAAGCGCTCATCTCATATTCATAGTCAGTAAGTAGTATGTGAAGGTGTGTGTGGACGACATTTTCGAGGAAGCACACGACCGGTTTGGCGGTTGTTGCCGCTCATCAGCTATGCGTACTCGGTACTCCTATGCCCACTCGTCTTCCGACTTGTACACTCCGATGATCTTTTATGTTCACTAGGATCTAATTTGAATCGTCTCGATTGTGAATGGATACTGTTGATTGAAGTGGCGACAAATGAATGAGAATTGTCATTTCTCGTAGTCATTCGTGTCTGGGTCACTGCTAACCCAACGAACAACGAGTTCGCATTTGCAAGCGCTCATCTCATATTCATAGTCAGTAAGTAGTATGTGAACGTGTGTGTGGACGACATTTTCGAGGAAGCACACGACCGGTTTGGCGGTTGTTGCCGCTCATCAGCTATGCGTACTCGGTAATCCTCTATCCACTCGTCTTCTGACTTGTACACTCCGATGATCTTTTATGTTCAATAGGATCTAATTTGAATCGTCTCGATTGTGAATGGATACTGTTGATTGAATTGCCGACAAATGAATGAGAATTGTCATTTCTCGTAGTTATCCGTGTGTCGAACACTGCTAACCCAACGAACAACGAGTTCGCATTTGCAAGCGCTCATCTCATATTCATAGTCAGTAAGTAGTATGTGAACGTGTGTGTGGACGACATTTTCGAGGAAGCACACGACCGGTTTGGCGGTTGTTGCCGCTCATCAGCTATGCGTACTCGGTACTCCTATGCCCACTCGTCTTCCGACTTGTACACTCCGATGATCTTTTATGTTCAATAGGATCTAATTTGAATCGTGTCGATTGTGAATGGACACTGTTGATTGAAGTGGCGACAAATGGATGAGAATTGTCATTTCTCGTAGTTATTTGTGTCTGGGTCACTGCTAACCCAACGAACAACGAGTTTGCATTTGCAAGCGCTCATCTCATATTCATAGTCAGTAAGTAGTATGTGAAGGTGTGTGTGGACGACATTTTCGAGGAAGCACACGACCGGTTTGGCGGTTGTTGCCGCTCATCAGCTATGCGTACTCGGTACTCCTATGCCCACTCGTCTTCCGACTTGTACACTCCGATGATCTTTTATGTTCAATAGGATCTAATTTGAATCGTCTTGATTTTGAATGGATACTGTTGATTGAAGTGGCGACAAATGAATGAGAATTGTCATTTCTCGTAGTTATTCGTGTCTGTGTCACTGCTAACCCAACGAACAACGAGTTTGCATTTGCAAGCGCTCATCTCATATTCATAGTCAGTAAGTAGTATGTGAACGTGTGTGTGGACGACATTTTCGAGGAAGCACACGACCGGTTTGGCGGTTGTTGCCGCTCATCAGCTATGCGTACTCGGTACTCCTATGCCCACTCGTCTTCCGACTTGTACACTCCGATGATCTTTTATGTTCAATAGGATCTAATTTGAATCGTCTCGATTGTGAATGGACACTGTTGATTGAATGGCCGAGAAATGAATACGATTTGTCATTTCTCGTAGTTATCCGTGTCTGTGTCACTGCTAACCCAACGAACAACGAGTTTGCATTTGCAAGCCCTCATCTCATATTCATAGTCAGTAAGTAGTATGTGAACGTGTGTGTGGACGACATTTTCGAGGAAGCACACGACCGGTTTGGAGTTTGTTGCCGCTCATCAGCTATGCGTACTCGGTACTCCTCTGCCCACTCGTCTTCTGACTTGTACACTCCGATGATCTTTTATGTTCACTAGGATCTAATTTGAATCGTCTCGATTGTGAATGGATACTGTTGATTGAAGTGCCGACAAATGAATGAGAGTTGTCATTTCTCGTAGTCATTTGTGTCTGGGTCACTGCTAACCCAACGAACAACGAGTTCGCATTTGCAAGCGCTCATCTCATATTCATAGTCAGTAAGTAGTATGTGAACGTGTGTGTGGACGACATTTTCGAGGAAGCACACGACCGGTTTGGCGGTTGTTGCAGCTCATCAGCTATGCGTACTCGGTACTCCTATGCCCACTCGTCTTCTGACTTGTACACTCGGATGATCTTTTATGTTCAATAGGATCTAATTTGAATCGTCTCGATTGTGAATGGATACTGTTGATTGAAGTGGCGACAAATGAATGAGAATTGTCATTTCTCATAGTCATTCGTGTCTGGGTCACTGGTAACCCAACGAACAACGAGTTTGCATTTGCAAGCGCTCATCTCATATTCATAGTCAGTAAGTAGTATGTGAACGTGTGTGTGGACGACATTTTCGAGGAAGCACACGACCGGTTTGGCGGTTGTTGCCGCTCATCAGCTATGCGTACTCGGTACTCCTATGCCCACTCGTCTTCCGACTTGTACACTCCGATGATCTTTTATGTTCAATAGGATCTAATTTGAATCGTCTCGATTGTGAATGGACACTGTTGATTGAAGTGCCGAAAATGATTGAGAGTTGTCATTTCTCGTAGTTATTCGTGTCTGGGTCACTGCTAACCCAACGAACAACGAGTTTGCATTTGCAAGCGCTCATCTCATATTCATAGTCAGTAATTAGTATGTGAACGTGTGTGTGGACGACATTTTCGAGGAAGCACACGACCGGTTTGGCGGTTGTTGCCGCTCATCAGCTATGCGTACTCGGTACTCCTATGCCCACTCGTCTTCCGACTTGTACACTCCGATGATCTTTTATGTTCACTAGGATCTAATTTGAATCGTCTCGATTGTGAATGGATACTGTTGATTGAAGTGCCGACAAATGAATGAGAAATGTCATTTCACGTAGTTATTCGTGTCTGTGTCACTGCTAACCCAACGAACAACGAGTTTGCATTTGCAAGCGCTCATCTCATATTCATAGTCAGTAAGTAGTATGTGAACGTGTGTGTGGACGACATTTTCGAGGAAGCACACGACCGGTTTGGCGGTTGTTGCCGCTCATCAGCTATGCGTACTCGGTGCTCCTATGCCCACTCGTCTTCCGACTTGTACACTCCGATGATCTTTTATGTTCACTAGGATCTAATTTGAATCGTCTCGATTGTGAATGGATACTGTTGATTGAAGTGGCGACAAATGAATGAGAAATGTCCTTTCACGTAGTTATCCGTGTCTGTGTCACTGCTAACCCAACGAACAACGAGTTTGCATTTGCAAACGCTCATCTCATATTCATAGTCAGTAAGTAGTATGTGAAGGTGTGTGTGGACGACATTTTCGAGGAAGCACACGACCGGTTTGGCGGTTGTTGCCGCTCATCAGCTATGCGTACTCGGTACTCCTCTGCCCACTCGTCTTCTGACTTGTACACTCCGATGATCTTTTATGTTCAATAGGATCTTATTTGAATCGTCTCGATTGTGAATGGACACTGTTGATTGAATTGCCGAGAAATGAATACGAATTGTCATTTCTCGTAGTTATTCGTGTCTGTGTCACTGCTAACCCAACGAACAACGAGTTTGCATTTGCAAGCGCTCATCTCATATTCATAGTCAGTAAGTAGTATGTGAACGTGTGTGTGGACGACATTTTCGAGGAAGCACACGACCGGTTTGGCGTTTGTTGCCGCTCATCAGCTATGCGTACTCGGTACTCCTCTGCCCACTCGTCTTCTGACTTGTACACTCGGATGATCTTTTATGTTCAATAGGATCTAATTTGAATCGTCTCGATTGTGAATGGGTACTGTTGATTGAAGTGCCGAAAATGAATGAGAATTGTCATTTCTCGTAGTTATTCGTGTCTGGGTCACTGCTTACCCAACGAACAACGAGTTTGCATTTGCAAGCGCTCATCTCATATTCATAGTCAGTAAGTAGTATGTGAACGTGTGTGTGGACGACATTTTCGAGGAAGCACACGACCGGTTTGGCGGTTGTTGCCGCTCATCAGCTATGCGTACTCGGTACTCCTATGCCCACTCGTCTTCTGACTTGTACACTCCGATGATCTTTTATGTTCAATAGGATCTAATTTGAATCGTCTCGACTGTGAATGGATACTGTTAGTTGAATTGCCGAGGAATGAATGAGAATTGTCATTTCTCGTAGTTATCCGTGTCTGTGTAATTGCTAACCCAAAGAACAACGAGTTTGCATTTGCAAGCGCTCATCTCATATTCATAGTCAGTAAGTAGTATGTGAACGTGTGTGTGGACGACATTTTCGAGGAAGCACACGACCGGTTTGGCGGTTGTTGCCGCTCATCAGCTATGCGTACTCGGTGCTCCTATGCCCACTCGTCTTCCGACTTGTACACTCCGATGATCTTTTATGTTCACTAGGATCTAATTTGAATCGTCTCGATTGTGAATGGATACTGTTGATTGAAGTGGCGACAAATGAATGAGAAATGTCCTTTCACGTAGTTATCCGTGTCTGTGTCACTGCTTACCAAACGAACAACGAGTTCGCATTTGCAAGCGCTCATCTCATATTCATAGTCAGTAAGTAGTATGTGAACGTGTGTGTGGACGACATTTTCGAGGAAGCACACGACCGGTTTGGCGGTTGTTGCCGCTCATCAGCTATGCGTACTCGGTAGTCCTCTGCCCACTCGTCTTCCGACTTGTACACTCCGATGATCTTTTATGTTCAATAGGATCTGATTTGAATCGTCTCGATTGTGAATGGACACTGTTGATTGAATGGCCGAGAAATGAATACGATTTGTCATTTCTCGTAGTTATCCGTGTCTGTGTCACTGCTAACCCAACGAACAACGAGTTTGCATTTGCAAGCCCTCATCTCATATTCATAGTCAGTAAGTAGTATGTGAACGTGTGTGTGGACGACATTTTCGAGGAAGCACACGACCGGTTTGGCGTTTGTTGCCGCTCATCAGCTATGCGTACTCGGTACTCCTCTGCCCACTCGTCTTCTGACTTGTACACTCCGATGATCTTTTATGTTCACTAGGATCTAATTTGAATCGTCTCGATTGTGAATGGATACTGTTGATTGAAGTGCCGACAAATGAATGAGAGTTGTCATTTCTCGTAGTCATTTGTGTCTGGGTCACTGCTAACCCAACGAACAACGAGTTCGCATTTGCAAGCGCTCATCTCATATTCATAGTCAGTAAGTAGTATGTGAACGTGTGTGTGGACGACATTTTCGAGGAAGCACACGACCGGTTTGGCGGTTGTTGCAGCTCATCAGCTATGCGTACTCGGTACTCCTATGCCCACTCGTCTTCTGACTTGTACACTCGGATGATCTTTTATGTTCAATAGGATCTAATTTGAATCGTCTCGATTGTGAATGGAAACTGATGATTGAAGTGCCGACAAATGAATGAGAATTGTCATTTCTCGTAGTTATTCGTGTCTGGGTCACTGGTAACCCAACGAACAACGAGTTTGCATTTGCAAGCGCTCATCTCATATTCATAGTCAGTAAGTAGTATGTGAACGTGTGTGTGGACGACATTTTCGAGGAAGCACACGACCGGTTTGGCGGTTGTTGCCGCTCATCAGCTATGCGTACTCGGTACTCCTATGCCCACTCGTCTTCCGACTTGTACACTCCGATGATCTTTTATGTTCAATAGGATCTAATTTGAATCGTCTCGATTGTGAATGGACACTGTTGATTGAAGTGCCGAAAATGATTGAGAGTTGTCATTTCTCGTAGTTATCCGTGTCTGGGTCACTGCTAACCCAACGAACAACGAGTTTGCATTTGCAAGCGCTCATCTCATATTCATAGTCAGTAATTAGTATGTGAACGTGTGTGTGGACGACATTTTCGAGGAAGCACACGACCGGTTTGGCGGTTGTTGCCGCTCATCAGCTATGCGTACTCGGTACTCCTATGCCCACTCGTCTTCCGACTTGTACACTCCGATGATCTTTTATGTTCACTAGGATCTAATTTGAATCGTCTCGATTGTGAATGGATACTGTTGATTGAAGTGGCGACAAATGAATGAGAAATGTCATTTCACGTAGTTATTCGTGTCTGTGTCACTGCTAACCCAACGAACAACGAGTTTGCATTTGCAAGCGCTCATCTCATATTCATAGTCAGTAAGTAGTATGTGAACGTTTGCATGGACGACATTTTCGAGGAAGCACACGACCGGTTTGGCGGTTGTTGCCGCTCATCAGCTATGCGTACTCGGTGCTCCTATGCCCACTCGTCTTCCGACTTGTACACTCCGATGATCTTTTATGTTCACTAGGATTTAATTTGAATCGTCTCGATTGTGAATGGATACTGTTGATTGAAGTGGCGACAAATGAATGAGAAATGTCCTTTCACGTTGTTATCCGTGTCTGTGTCACTGCTAACCCAACGAACAACGAGTTTGCATTTGCAAACGCTCATCTCATATTCATAGTCAGTAAGTAGTATGTGAAGGTGTGTGTGGACGACATTTTCGAGGAAGCACACGACCGGTTTGGCGGTTGTTGCCGCTCATCAGCTATGCGTACTCGGTACTCCTCTGCCCACTCGTCTTCTGACTTGTACACTCCGATGATCTTTTATGTTCAATAGGATCTTATTTGAATCGTCTCGATTGTGAATGGACACTGTTGATTGAATTGCCGAGAAATGAATACGAATTGTCATTTCTCGTAGTTATTCGTGTCTGTGTCACTGCTAACCCAACGAACAACGAGTTTGCATTTGCAAGCGCTCATCTCATATTCATAGTCAGTAAGTAGTATGTGAACGTGTGTGTGGACGACATTTTCGAGGAAGCACACGACCGGTTTGGCGTTTGTTGCCGCTCATCAGCTATGCGTACTCGGTACTCCTCTGCCCACTCGTCTTCTGACTTGTACACTCGGATGATCTTTTATGTTCAATAGGATCTAATTTGAATCGTCTCGATTGTGAATGGGTACTGTTGATTGAAGTGCCGAAAATGAATGAGAATTGTCATTTCTCGTAGTTATTCGTGTCTGGGTCACTGCTTACCCAACGAACAACGAGTTTGCATTTGCAAGCGCTCATCTCATATTAATAGTCAGTAAGTAGTATGTGAACGTGTGTGTGGACGACATTTTCGAGGAAGCACACGACCGGTTTGGCGGTTGTTGCCGCTCATCAGCTATGCGTACTCGGTACTCCTATGCCCACTCGTCTTCTGACTTGTACACTCCGATGATCTTTTATGTTCAATAGGATCTAATTTGAATCGTCTCGACTGTGAATGGATACTGTTGTTTGAATTGCCGAGGAATGAATGAGAATTGTCATTTCTCGTAGTTATCCGTGTCTGTGTAATTGCTAACCCAAAGAACAACGAGTTTGCATTTGCAAGCGCTCATCTCATATTCATAGTCAGTAAGTAGTATGTGAACGTGTGTGTGGACGACATTTTCGAGGAAGCACACGACCGGTTTGGCGGTTGTTGCCGCTCATCAGCTATGCGTACTCGGTACTCCTATGCCCACTCGTCTTCCGACTTGTACACTCCGATGATCTTTTATGTTCACTAGGATCTAATTTGAATCGTCTCGATTGTGAATGGATACTGTTGATTGAAGTGGCGACAAATGAATGAGAAATGTCCTTTCACGTAGTTATCCGTGTCTGTGTCACTGCTTACCAAACGAACAACGAGTTCGCATTTGCAAGCGCTCATCTCATATTCATAGTCAGTAAGTAGTATGTGAACGTGTGTGTGGACGACATTTTCGAGGAAGCACACGACCGGTTTGGCGGTTGTTGCCGCTCATCAGCTATGCGTACTCGGTAGTCCTCTGCCCACTCGTCTTCCGACTTGTACACTCCGATGATCTTTTATGTTCAATAGGATCTGATTTGAATCGTCTCGATTGTGAATGGACACTGTTGATTGAATTGCCGGGAAATGAAGACGAATTGTCATTTCTCGTAGATATCCGTGTCTGTGTCACTGCTAACCCAACGAACAACGAGTTCGCATTTGCAAGCGCTCATCTCATATTCATAGTCAGTAAGTAGTATGTGAACGTGTGTGTGGACGACATTTTCGAGGGAGCACACGACCGGTTTGGCGTTTGTTGCCGCTCATCAGCTATGCGTACTCGGTACTCCTCTGCCCACTCGTCTTCCGACTTGTACACTCCGATGATCTTTTATGTTCAATAGGATCTAATTTGAATCGTCTCGATTGTGAATGGATACTGTTGATTGAAGTGGCGACAAATGAATGAGAAATGTCATTTCACGTAATTATCCGTGTCTGTGTCACTGCTAACCCAACGAACAACGAGTTTGCATTTGCAAGCGCTCATCTCATATTCATAGTCAGTAAGTAGTATGTGAACGTGTGTGTGGACGACATTTTCGAGGAAGCACACGACCGGTTTGGCGGTTGTTGCCGCTCATCAGCTGTGCTTACTGGGTACTCCTCTGCCCACTCGTCTTCCGACTTGTACACTCCGATGATCTTTTATGTTCAATAGGATCTAATTTGAATCGTCTCGATTGTGAATGGATACTGTTGATTGAAGTGGCGACAAATGAATGAGAATTGTCATTTCTCGTAGTCATTCGTGTCTGGGTCACTGCTAACCCAACGAACAACGAGTTTGCATTTGCAAGCGCTCATCTCATATTAATAGTCAGTAAGTAGTATGTGAACGTGTGTGTGGACGACATTTTCGAGGAAGCACACGACCGGTTTGGCGGTTGTTGCCGCTCATCAGCTATGCGTACTCGGTACTCCTATGCCCACTCGTCTTCTGACTTGTACACTCCGATGATCTTTTATGTTCAATAGGATCTAATTTGAATCGTCTCGATTGTGAATGGATACTGTTGATTGAAGTGCCGACAAATGAATGAGAATTGTCATTTCTCGTAGTTATTCGTGTCTCGAACACTGCTAACCCAACGAACAACCAGTTTGCATTTGCAAGCGCTCATCTCATATTCATAGTCAGTAAGTAGTATGTGAACGTGTGTGTGGACGACATTTTCGAGGAAGCACACGACCGGTTTGGCGGTTGTTGCCGCTCATCAGCTGTGCTTACTCGGTACTCCTATGCCTATTCGTCTTCCGACTTGTACACTCGGATGATCTTTTATGTTCAATAGGATCTAATTTGAATCGTCTCGATTGTGAATGGATACTGTTGATTGAAGTGCCGACAAATGAATGAGAATTGTCATTTCTCGTAGTCATTCGTGTCTGTGTCACTGCTAACCCAACGAACAACGAGTTTGCATTTGCAAGCGCTCATCTCATATTCATAGTCAGTAAGTAGTATGTGAACGTGTGTGTGGACGACATTTTCGAGGAAGCACACGACCGGTTTGGCGGTTGTTGCCGCTCATCAGCTATGCGTACTCGGTGCTCCTATGCCCACTCGTCTTCCGACTTGTACACTCCGATGATCTTTTATGTTCACTAGGATCTAATTTGAACCGTCTCGATTGTGAATGGATACTGTTGATTGAAGTGGCGACAAATGAATGAGAAATGCCCTTTCACGTAGTTATCCGTGTCTGTGTCACTGCTAACCCAACGAACAACGAGTTTGCATTTGCAAGCGCTCATCTCATATTCATAGTCAGTAAGTAGTATGTGAAGGTGTGTGTGGACGACATTTTCGAGGAAGCACACGACCGGTTTGGCGGTTGTTGCCGCTCATCAGCTATGCGTACTCGGTACTCCTATGCCCACTCGTCTTCTGACTTGTACACTCCGATGATCTTTTATGTTCAATAGGATCTTATTTGAATCGTCTCGATTGTGAATGGACACTGTTGATTGAATTGCCGAGAAATGAATACGAATTGTCATTTCTCGTAGTTATTCGTGTCTGTGTCACTGCTAACCCAACGAACAACGAGTTTGCATTTGCAAGCGCTCATCTCATATTCATAGTCAGTAAGTAGTATGTGAACGTGTGTGTGGACGACATTTTCGAGGAAGCACACGACCGGTTTGGCGTTTGTTGCCGCTCATCAGCTATGCGTACTCGGTACTCCTCTGCCCACTCGTCTTCTGACTTGTACACTCGGATGATCTTTTATGTTCAATAGGATCTAATTTGAATCGTCTCGATTGTGAATGGGTACTGTTGATTGAAGTGCCGAAAATGAATGAGAATTGTCATTTCTCGTAGTTATTCGTGTCTGGGTCACTGCTTACCCAACGAACAACGAGTTTGCATTTGCAAGCGCTCATCTCATATTATTAGTCAGTAAGTAGTATGTGAACGTGTGTGTGGACGACATTTTCGAGGAAGCACACGACCGGTTTGGCGGTTGTTGCCGCTCATCAGCTATGCGTACTCGGTAGTCCTCTGCCCACTCGTCTTCCGACTTGTACACTCCGATGATCTTTTATGTTCAATAGGATCTGATTTGAATCGTCTCGATTGTGAATGGACACTGTTGATTGAATTGCCGAGAAATGAAGACGAATTGTCATTTCTCGTAGATATCCGTGTCTGTGTCACTGCTAACCCAACGAACAACGAGTTCGCATTTGCAAGCGCTCATCTCATATTCATAGTCAGTAAGTAGTATGTGAACGTGTGTGTGGACGACATTTTCGAGGGAGCACACGACCGGTTTGGCGTTTGTTGCCGCTCATCAGCTATGCGTACTCGGTACTCCTCTGCCCACTCGTCTTCCGACTTGTACACTCCGATGATCTTTTATGTTCAATAGGATCTAATTTGAATCGTCTCGATTGTGAATGGATACTGTTGATTGAAGTGGCGACAAATGAATGAGAAATGTCATTTCACGTAATTATCCGTGTCTGTGTCACTGCTAACCCAACGAACAACGAGTTTGCATTTGCAAGCGCTCATCTCATATTCATAGTCAGTAAGTAGTATGTGAACGTGTGTGTGGACGACATTTTCGAGGAAGCACACGACCGGTTTGGCGGTTGTTGCCGCTCATCAGCTGTGCTTACTGGGTGCTCCTCTGCCCACTCGTCTTCCGACTTGTACACTCCGATGATCTTTTATGTTCAATAGGATCTAATTTGAATCGTCTCGATTGTGAATGGATACTGTTGATTGAAGTGGCGACAAATGAATGAGAATTGTCATTTCTCGTAGTCATTCGTGTCTGGGTCACTGCTAACCCAACGAACAACGAGTTTGCATTTGCAAGCGCTCATCTCATATTAATAGTCAGTAAGTAGTATGTGAACGTGTGTGTGGACGACATTTTCGAGGAAGCACACGACCGGTTTGGCGGTTGTTGCCGCTCATCAGCTATGCGTACTCGGTACTCCTATGCCCACTCGTCTTCTGACTTGTACACTCCGATGATCTTTTATGTTCAATAGGATCTAATTTGAATCGTCTCGATTGTGAATGGATACTGTTGATTGAAGTGGCGACAAATGAATGAGAATTGTCATTTCTCGTAGTTATCCGTGTCTGTGTCATTGCTAACCCAACGAACAACGAGTTTGCATTTGCAAACGCTCATCTCATATTCATAGTCAGTAAGTAGTATGTGAAGGTGTGTGTGGACGACATTTTCGAGGAAGCACACGACCGGTTTGGCGGTTGTTGCCGCTCATCAGCTATGCGTACTCGGTACTCCTATGCCCACTCGTCTTCTGACTTGTACACTCCGATGATCTTTTATGTTCAATAGGATCTTATTTGAATCGTCTCGATTGTGAATGGACACTGTTGATTGAATTGCCGAGAAATGAATACGAATTGTCATTTCTCGTAGTTATTCGTGTCTGTGTCACTGCTAACCCAACGAACAACGAGTTTGCATTTGCAAGCGCTCATCTCATATTCATAGTCAGTAAGTAGTATGTGAACGTGTGTGTGGACGACATTTTCGAGGAAGCACACGACCGGTTTGGCGTTTGTTGCCGCTCATCAGCTATGCGTACTCGGTACTCCTCTGCCCACTCGTCTTCTGACTTGTACACTCGGATGATCTTTTATGTTCAATAGGATCTAATTTGAATCGTCTCGATTGTGAATGGGTACTGTTGATTGAAGTGCCGAAAATGAATGAGAATTGTCATTTCTCGTAGTTATTCGTGTCTGGGTCACTGCTTACCCAACGAACAACGAGTTTGCATTTGCAAGCGCTCATCTCATATTCATAGTCAGTAAGTAGTATGTGAACGTGTGTGTGGACGACATTTTCGAGGAAGCACACGACCGGTTTGGCGGTTGTTGCCGCTCATCAGCTATGCGTACTCGGTACTCCTATGCCCACTCGTCTTCTGACTTGTACACTCCGATGATCTTTTATGTTCAATAGGATCTAATTTGAATCGTCTCGACTGTGCATGGATACTGTTGTTTGAATTGCCGAGGAATGAATGAGAATTGTCATTTCTCGTAGTTATCCGTGTCTGTGTAATTGCTAACCCAAAGAACAACGAGTTTGCATTTGCAAGCGCTCATCTCATATTCATAGTCAGTAAGTAGTATGTGAACGTGTGTGTGGACGACATTTTCGAGGAAGCACACGACCGGTTTGGCGGTTGTTGCCGCTCATCAGCTATGCGTACTCGGTACTCCTATGCCCACTCTTCTTCCGACTTGTACACTCCGATGATCTTTTATGTTCAATAGGATCTAATTTGAATCGTCTCGATTGTGAATGGATACTGTTGATTGAAGTGGCGACAAATGAATGAGAAATGTCATTTCACGTAATTATCCGTGTCTGTGTCACTGCTAACCCAACGAACAACGAGTTCGCATTTGCAAGCGCTCATCTCATATTCATAGTCAGTAAGTAGTATGTGAACGTGTGTGTGGACGACATTTTCGAGGAAGCACACGACCGGTTTGGCGGTTGTTGCCGCTCATCAGCTGTGCTTACTGGGTACTCCTCTGCCCACTCGTCTTCCGACTTGTACACTCCGATGATCTTTTATGTTCAATAGGATCTAATTTGAATCGTCTCGATTGTGAATGGATACTGTTGATTGAAGTGGCGACAAATGAATGAGAATTGTCATTTCTCGTAGTCATTCGTGTCTGGGTCACTGCTAACCCAACGAACAACGAGTTTGCATTTGCAAGCGCTCATCTCATATTAATAGTCAGTAAGTAGTATGTGAACGTGTGTGTGGACGACATTTTCGAGGAAGCACACGACCGGTTTGGCGGTTGTTGCCGCTCATCAGCTATGCGTACTCGGTACTCCTATGCCCACTCGTCTTCTGACTTGTACACTCCGATGATCTTTTGTGTTCAATAGGATCTAATTTGAATCGTCTCGATTGTGAATGGATACTGTTGATTGAAGTGGCGACAAATGAATGAGAATTGTCATTTCTCGTAGTTATCCGTGTCTGTGTAATTGCTAAACCAACGAACAACGAGTTTGCATTTGCAAGCGCTCATCTCATATTAATAGTCAGTAAGTAGTATGTGAACGTGTGTGTGGACGACATTTTCGAGGAAGCACACGACCGGTTTGGCGGTTGTTGCCGCTCATCAGCTGTGCTTACTCGGTACTCCTATGCCCACTCGTCTTCCGACTTGTACACTCCGATGATCTTTTATGTTCAATAGGATCTAATTTGAATCGTCTCGATTGTGAATGGATACTGTTGATTGAAGTGCCGAAAATGAATGAGAATTGTCATTTCTCGTAGTTATTCGTGTCTGTGTCACTGCTAACCCAACGAACAACGAGTTTGCATTTGCAAGCGCTCATCTCATATTCATAGTCAGTAAGTAGTATGTGAACGTGTGTGTGGACGACATTTTCGAGGAAGCACACGACCGGTTTGGCGGTTGTTGCCGCTCATCAGCTATGCGTACTCGGTACTCCTATGCCCACTCGTCTTCTGACTTGTACACTCCGATGATCTTTTATGTTCAATAGGATCCAATTTGAATCGTCTCGATTGTGAATGGATACTGTTGATTGAAGTGGCGACAAATGAATTAGAAATGTGATTTCACGTAATTATCCGTGTCTGTGTCACTGCTAACCCAACGAACAACGAGTTTGCATTTGCAAGCGCTCATCTCATATTCATAGTCAGTAAGTAGTATGTGAACGTGTGTGTGGACGACATTTTCGAGGAAGCACACGACCGGTTTGGCGGTTGTTGCCGCTCATCAGCTGTGCTTACTGGGTACTCCTCTGCCCACTCGTCTTCCGACTTGTACACTCCGATGATCTTTTATGTTCAATAGGATCTAATTTGAATCGTCTCGATTGTGAATGGATACTGTTGATTGAAGTGGCGACAAATGAATGAGAATTGTCATTTCTCGTAGTCATTCGTGTCTGGGTCACTGCTAACCCAACGAACAACGAGTTTGCATTTTCAATTGCTCAACTCATATTCATAGTCAGTAAGTAGTATGTGAACGTGTGTGTGGACGACATTTTCGAGGAAGCACACGACCGGTTTGGCGGTTGTTGCCGCTCATCAGCTATGCGTACTCGGTACTCCTATGCCCACTCTTCTTCCGACTTGTACACTCCGATGATCTTTTATGTTCACTAGGATCTAATTTGAATCGTCTCGATTGTGAATGGATACTGTTGATTGAAGTGGCGACAAATGAATGAGAAATGTCCTTTCACGTAGTTATCCGTGTCTGTGTCACTGCTTACCAAACGAACAACCAGTTTGCATTTGCAAGCGCTCATCTCATATTCATAGTCAGTAAGTAGTATGTAAACGTGTGTGTGGACGACATTTTCGAGGAAGCACACGACCGGTTTGGCGGTTGTTGCCGCTCATCAGCTATGCGTACTCGGTACTCCTATGCCCACTCGTCCTCTGACTTGTACACTCCGATGATCTTTTATGTTCACTAGGATCTAATTTGAATCGTCTCGATTGTGAATGGACACTGTTGATTGAATTGCCGAGAAATGAAGACGAATTGTCATTTCTCGTAGATATCCGTGTCTGTGTCACTGCTAACCCAACGAACAACGAGTTTGCATTTGCAAGCGCTCATCTCATATTCATAGTCAGTAAGTAGTATGTGAACGTGTGTGTGGACGACATTTTCGAGGAAGCACACGACCGGTTTGGCGTTTGTTGCCGCTCATCAGCTATGCGTACTCGGTACTCCTATGCCCACTCGTCTTCCGACTTGTACACTCCGATGATCTTTTATGTTCAATAGGATCCAATTTGAATCGTCTCGATTGTGAATGGATACTGTTGATTGAAGTGGCGACAAATGAATGAGAAATGTCATTTCTCGTAGTTATCCGTGTCTGTGTCATTGCTAACCCAACGAACAACGAGTTTGCATTTGCAAGCGCTCATCTCATATTCATAGTCAGTAAGTAGTATGTGAAGGTGTGTGTGGACGACATTTTCGAGGAAGCACACGACCGGTTTGGCGGTTGTTGCCGCTCATCAGCTATGCGTACTCGGTACTCCTATGCCCACTCGTCTTCTGACTTGTACACTCCGATGATCTTTTATGTTCAATAGAATCTTATTTGAATCGTCTCGACTGTGAATGGACACTGTTGATTGAATATCCGAGAAATGAATACGAATTGTCATTTCTCGTAGTTATCCGTGTCTGTGTCATTGCTAAACCAACGAACAACGAGTTTGCATTTGCAAGCGCTCATCTCATATTCATAGTCAGTAAGTAGTATGTGAACGTGTGTGTGGACGACATTTTCGAGGAAGCACACGACCGGTTTGGCGGTTGTTGCCGCTCATTATCTATGCGTACTCGGTACTCCTATGCCCACTCGTCTTCCGACTTGTACACTCCGATGATCTTTTATGTTCACTAGGATCTAATTTGAATCGTCTCGATTGTGAATGGATACTGTTGATTGAAGTGGCGACAAATGAATGAGAAATGTCCTTTCACGTTGTTATCCGTGTCTGTGTCACTGCTAACCCAACGAACAACGAGTTTGCATTTGCAAGCGCTCATCTCATATTCATAGTCAGTAAGTAGTATGTGAACGTGTGTGTGGACGACATTTTCGAGGAAGCACACGACCGGTTTGGCGGTTGTTGCCGCTCATCAGCTATGCGTACTCGGTACTCCTATGCCCACTCGTCTTCTGACTTGTACACTCCGATGATCTTTTATGTTCACTAGGATCTAATTTGAATCGTCTCGATTGTGAATGGATACTGTTGATTGAAGTAGCGACAAATGAATGAGAAATGTCATTTCACGTAATTATCCGTGTCTGTGTCACTGCTAACCCAACGAACAACGAGTTTGCATTTTCAATTGCTCAACTCATATTCATAGTCAGTAAGTAGTATGTGAACGTGTGTGTGGACGACATTTTCGAGGAAGCACACGACCGGTTTGGCGTTTGTTGCCGCTCATCAGCTGTGCTTACTGGGTACTCCTCTGCCCACTCGTCTTCCGACTTGTACACTCCGATGATCTTTTATGTTCAATAGGATCTAATTTGAATCGTCTCGATTGTGAATGGATACTGTTGATTGAAGTGGCGACAAATGAATGAGAATTGTCATTTCTCGTAGTCATTCGTGTCTGGGTCACTGCTAACCCAACGAACAACGAGTTTGCATTTTCAATTGCTCAACTCATATTCATAGTCAGTAAGTAGTATGTGAACGTGTGTGTGGACGACATTTTCTATGAAGCACACGACCGGTTTGGCGGTTGTTGCCGCTCATCAGCTATGCGTACTCGGTACTCCTATGCCCACTCGTCTTCTGACTTGTACACTCCGATGATCTTTTATGTTCAATAGGATCTAATTTGAATCGTCTCTATTGTGAATGGACACTGTTGATTGAATTGCCGAGAAATGAATACGAATTGTCATTTCTCGTAGTTATCCGTGTCTGTGTCATTGCTAACCCAACGAACAACGAGTTTGCATTTGCAAACGCTCATCTCATATTCATAGTCAGTAAGTAGTATGTGAACGTGTGTGTGGACGACATTTTCGAGGAAGCACACGACCGGTTTGGCGGTTGTTGCCGCTCATCAGCTATGCGTACTCGGTACTCCTATGCCCACTCGTCTTCTGACTTGTACACTCCGATGATCTTTTATGTTCAATAGAATCTTATTTGAATCGTCTCGACTGTTAATTGACACTGTTGATTGAATTGCCGAGAAATCAATACGAATTGTCATTTCTCGTAGTTATCCGTGTCTGTGTCACTGCTAACCCAACGAACAACGAGTTCGCATTTGCAAACGCTCATCTCATATTCATAGTCAGTAAGTAGTATGTGAACGTGTGTGTGGACGACATTTTCGAGGAAGCACACGACCGGTTTGGCGGTTGTTGCCGCTCATCAGCTATGCGTACTCGGTACTCCTATGCCCACTCGTCCTCTGACTTGAACACTCCGATGATCTTTTATGTTCAATAGGATCTAATTTGAATCGTCTCGATTGTGAATGGATACTGTTGATTGAAGTAGCGACAAATGAATGAGAAATGTCATTTCACGTAATTATCCGTGTCTGTGTCACTGCTAACCCAACGAACAACGAGTTTGCATTTGCAAGCGCTCATCTCATATTCATAGTCAGTAAGTAGTATGTGAAGGTGTGTGTGGACGACATTTTCGAGGAAGCACACGACCGGTTTGGCGGTTGTTGCCGCTCATCAGCTGTGCTTACTGGGTACTCCTCTGCTCACTCGTCTTCCGACTTGTACACTCCGATGATCTTTTATGTTCAATAGGATCTAATTTGAATCGTCTCGATTGTGAATGGATACTGTTGATTGAAGTGGCGACAAATGAATGAGAATTGTCATTTCTCGTAGTCATTCGTGTCTGGGTCACTGCTAACCCAACGAACAACGAGTTTGCATTTTCAATTGCTCAACTCATATTCATAGTCAGTAAGTAGTATGTGAACGTGTGTGTGGACGACATTTTCTATGAAGCACACGACCGGTTTGGCGGTTGTTGCCGCTCATCAGCTATGCGTACTCGGTACTCCTATGCCCACTCGTCTTCTGACTTGTACACTCCGATGATCTTTTATGTTCAATAGGATCTTATTTGAATCGTCTCGACTGTGAATGGACACTGTTGATTGAATTGCCGAGAAATGAATACGAATTGTCATTTCTCGTAGTTATCCGTGTCTGTGTCATTGCTAACCCAACGAACAACGAGTTTGCATTTGCAAACGCTCATCTCATATTCATAGTCAGTAAGTAGTATGTGAACGTGTGTGTGGACGACATTTTCGAGGAAGCACACGACCGGTTTGGCGGTTGTTGCCGCTCATCAGCTATGCGTACTCGGTACTCCTCTCCCCATACGTCTTCTGACTTGTACACTCCGATGATCTTTTATGTTCACTGGGATCTAATTTGAATCGTCTCGATTGTGAATGGATACTGTTGATTGAAGTGGCGACAAATGAATGAGAAATGTACTTTCACGTTGTTATCCGTGTCTGTGTCACTGCTAACCCAAAGAACAACGAGTTTGCATTTTCAATTGCTCAACTCATATTCATAGTCAGTAAGTAGTATGTGAACGTGTGTGTGGACGACATTTTCGAGGAAGCACACGACCGGTTTGGCGGTTGTTGCCGCTCATCAGCTGTGTTTACTGGGTACTCCTCTGCGCACTCCTCTTCTGACTTGTACACTCCGATGATCTTTTATGTTCAATAGGATCTAATTTGAATCGTCTCGATTGTGAATGGACACTGTTGATTGAATTGCCGAGAAATGTATACGAATTGTCATTTCTCGTAGTCATTCGTGTCTGTGTCACTGCTAACCCAACGAACAACGAGTTTGCATTTTCAATTGCTCAACTCATATTCATAGTCAGTAAGTAGTATGTGAACGTGTGTGTGGACGACATTTTCGAGGAAGCACACGACCGGTTTGGCGGTTGTTGCCGCTCATCAGCTATGCGTACTCGGTACTCCTATGCCCACTCGTCTTCTGACTTGTACACTCCGATGATCTTTTATGTTCAATAGGATCTTATTTGAATCGTCTCGACTGTGAATGAACACTGTTGATTTAATTGCCGAGAAATGAATACGAATTGTCATTTCTCGTAGTTATCCGTGTCTGTGTCATTGCTAACCCAACGAACAACGAGTTTGCATTTGCAAACGCTCATCTCATATTCATAGTCAGTAAGTAGTATGTGAAGGTGTGTGTGGACGACATTTTCGAGGAAGCACACGACTGGTTTGGCGGTTGTTGCCGCTCATCAGCTATGCGTACTCGGTACTCCTATGCCCACTCGTCTTCTGACTTGTACACTCCGATGATCTTTTATGTTCAATAGGATCTAATTTGAATCGTCTCGATTGTGAATGGATACTGTTGATTGAATTGCCGAGAAATGAATGAGAATTGTCATTCCTCGTATTTATTCGTGTCTGTGTCATTGCTAACCGAACGAACAAGGAGTTCGCATTTGCAAGCGCTCATCTCATATTCATAGTCAGTAAGTAGTATGTGAAGGTGTGTGTGGACGACATTTTCGAGGAAGCACACGACCGGTTTGGCGGTTGTTGCCGCTCATCATCTATGCGTACTCGGTACTCCTATGCCCACTCGTCTTCTGACTTGTACACTCCGATGATCTTTTATGTTCAATAGGATCTAATTTAAATCGTCTCGATTGTGAATGGATACTGTTGATTGAAGTGCCGACAAATGAATGAGAGTTGTCATTTCTCGTAGTTATTTGTGTCTGGGTCACTGCTAACCCAACGAACAACGAGTTCGCATTTGCAAGCGCTCATCTCATATTCATAGTCAGTAAGTAGTATGTGAACGTGTGTGTGGACGACATTTTCGAGGAAGCACACGACCGGTTTGGCGGTTGTTGCCGCTCATCAGCTATGCGTACTCGGTACTCCAATGCCCACTCGTCTTCTGACTTGTACACTCCGATGATCTTTTATGTCAATAGGATCTAATTTGAATCGTCTCGATTGTGAATGGATACTGTTGATTGAAGTGCCGACAAATGAATGAGAATTGTCATTTCTCGTAGTTATTCGTGTCTGGGTCACTGCTAACCCAACGAACAACGAGTTTCCATTTGCAAACGCTCATCTCATATTCATAGTCAGTAAGTAGTATGTGAACGTGTGTGTGGACGACATTTTCGAGGAAGCACACGACCGGTTTGGCGGTTGTTGCCGCTCATCATCTATGCGTACTCGGTACTCCTCTGCCCACTCTTCTTCTGACTTGTACACTCCGATGATCTTTTATGTTCACTAGGATCTAATTTGAATCGTCTCGAATGTGAATGTATATTGTTGATTGAAGTGGCGACAAATGAATGAGAATTGTCATTTCTCCCAGTTATTCGTGTCTGGGTCACTGCTAACCCAACGAACAACGAGTTTGCATTTGCAAGCGCTCATCTCATATTCATAGTCAGTAAGTAGTATGTGAACGTGTGTGTGGACGACATTTTCGAGGAAGCACACGACCGGTTTGGCGGTTGTTGCCGCTCATCACCTATGCGTACTCGGTACTCCTATGCCCACTCTTCTTCTGACTTGTACACTCCGATGATCTTTTATGTTCAATAGGATCTAATTTGAATCGTCTCGATTGTGAATGGATACTGTTGATTGAAGTGCCGACAAATGAACGAGAATTGTCATTTCTCGTAGTCATTCGTGTCTGGGTCACTGCTAACCCAACGAACAACGAGTTTGCATTTTCAATTGCTCAACTCATATTCATAGTCAGTAAGTAGTATGTGAACGTGTGTGTGGACGACATTTTCTATGAAGCACACGACCGGTTTGGCGGTTGTTGCCGCTCATCAGCTATGCGTACTCGGTACTCCTATGCCCACTCGTCTTCTGACTTGTACACTCCGATGATCTTTTATGTTCACTAGGATCTAATTTGAATCGTCTCGATTGTGAATGGATACTGTTGATTGAATTGCCGACAAATGAATGAGAATTGTCATTTCTCGTAGTTATTCGTGTCTGGGTCACTGCTAACCCAACGAACAACGAGTTTGCATTTGCAAGCGCTCATCTCATATTCATAGTCAGTAAGTAGTATGTGAACGTGTGTGTGGACGACATTTTCGAGGAAGCACACGACCGGTTTGGCGGTTGTTGCCGCTCATCAGCTATGCGTACTCGGTAATCCTCTATCCACTCGCCTACTGAATGTACACTCCGATGATCTTTTATGTTCAATAGGATCTTATTTGAATCGTCTCGATTGTGCATGGATACTGTTTATTTAATTGCCGAGTAATGAATGAGAATTGTCATTTCTCGGAGCTATTCGTGTCTCGAACACTGCTAACCCAACGAACAACGAGTTTGCATTTGCAAACGCTCATCTCATATTCATAGTCAGTAAGTAGTATGTGAACGTGTGTGTGGACGACATTTTCGAGGAAGCACACGACCGGTTTGGCGGTTGTTGCCGCTCATCATCTATGCGTACTCGGTACTCCTCTGCCCACTCGTCTTCTGACTTGTACACTCCGATGATCTTTTATGTTCAATAGGATCTAATTTGAATCGTCTCGATTGTGAATGGATACTGTTGATTGAAGTGGCGACAAATGAATGAGAATTGTCATTTCTCCTAGTTATTCATGTCTCGAACACTGCAAACCCAACGAACAACGAGTTTGCATTTGCAAGCGCTCATCTCATATTCATAGTCAGTAAGTAGTATGTGAACGTGTGTGTGGACGACATTTTCGAGGAAGCACACGACCGGTTTGGCGGTTGTTGCCGCTCATCAGCTGTGCTTACTGGGTACTTCTCTACCCACTCGTCTTCTGACTTGAACACTCCGATGATCTTTTATGTTCAATAGGATCTAATTTGAATCGTCTCGATTGTGAATGGATACTGTTGATTGAAGTGCCGAGAAATGAATACGAATTGTCATTTCTCGTAGTTATTTGTGTCTGGGTCACTGCTAACCCAACGAACAACGAGTTTGCATTTGCAAGCGCTCATCTCATATTCATAGTCAGTAAGTAGTATGTGAACGTGTGTGTGGACGACATTTTCGAGGAAGCACACGACCGGTTTGGCGGTTGTTGCCGCTCATCAGCTATGCGTACTCGGTAATCCTCTATCCACTCGCCTACTGAATGTACACTCCGATGATCTTTTATGTTCAATAGGATCTTATTTGAATCGTCTCGATTGTGCATGGATACTGTTTATTTAATTGCCGAGTAATGAATAAGAATTGTCATTTCTCGGAGCTATTCGTGTCTCGAACACTGCTAACCCAACGAACAACGAGTTTCCATTTGCAAACGCTCATCTCATATTCATAGTCAGTAAGTAGTATGTGAACGTGTGTGTGGACGACATTTTCGAGGAAGCACACGACCGGTTTGGCGGTTGTTGCCGCTCATCATCTATGCGTACTCGGTACTCCTCTGCCCACTCGTCTTCTGACTTGTACACTCCGATGATCTTTTATGTTCAATAGGATCTAATTTGAATCGTCTCGATTGTGAATGGATACTGTTGATTGAAGTGGCGACAAATGAATGAGAATTGTCATTTCTCCTAGTTATTCATGTCTCGAACACTGCAAACCCAACGAACAACGAGTTTGCATTTGCAAGCGCTCATCTCATATTCATAGTCAGTAAGTAGTATGTGAACGTGTGTGTGGACGACATTTTCGAGGAAGCACACGACCGGTTTGGCGGTTGTTGCCGCTCATCAGCTGTGCTAACTGGGTACTTCTCTACCCACTCGTCTTCTGACTTGAACACTCCGATGATCTTCTATGTTCAATAGGATCTAATTTGAATCGTCTCGATTGTGAATGGATACTGTTGATTGAATTGCCGAGAAATGAATACGAATTGTCATTTCTCGTAGTTATTCGTGTCTGGGTCACTGCTAACCCAACGAACAACGAGTTTGCATTTGCAAGCGCTCATCTCATATTCATAGTCAGTAAGTAGTATGTGAACGTGTGTGTGGACGACATTTTCGAGGAAGCACACGACCGGTTTGGCGGTTGTTGCCGCTCATCAGCTATGCGTACTCGGTACTCCTCCGCCCACTCGTCTTTTGACTTGTACACTCCGATGATCTTTTATGTTCAATAGGATCTAATTTGAATCGTCTCGATTGTGAATGGATACTGTTGATTGAATTGCCGACAAATGAATGAGAATTGTCATTTCTCGTAGTTATTCGTGTCTGAGTCACTGCTAACCCAACGAACAACGAGTTTGCATTTGCAAGCGCTCATCTCATATTCATAGTCAGTAAGTAGTATGTGAACGTGTGTGTGGACGACATTTTCGAGGAAGCACACGACCGGTTTGGCGGTTGTTGCCGCTCATCAGCTATGCGTACTCGGTACTCCTATGCCCACTCGTCTTCTGACTTGTACACTCCGATGATCTTTTATGTTCAATAGGATCTAATTTGAATCGTCTCGATTGTGAATGGATACTGTTGATTGAAGTGCCGACAAATGAATGAGAATTGTCAGTTCTCGTAGTTATTCGTGTCTGGGTCACTGCTAACCCAACGAACAACCAGTTTGCATTTGCAAGCGCTCATCTCATATTCATAGTCAGTAAGTAGTATGTGAACGTGTGTGTGGACGACATTTTCGAGGAAGCACACGACCGGTTTGGCGGTTGTTGCCGCTCATCAGCTATGCGTACTCGGTACTCCTATGCCCACTCGTCTTCTGACTTGTACACTCCGATGATCTTTTATGTCAATAGGATCTAATTTGAATCGTCTCGATTGTGAATGGATACTGTTGATTGAAGTGGCGACAAATGAATGAGAATTGTCAGTTCTCGTAGTTATTTGTGTCTAGGTCCCTGCTAACCCAACGAACAACGAGTTTGCATTTGCAAGCGCTCATCTCATATTCATAGTCAGTAAGTAGTATGTGAACGTGTGTGTGGACGACATTTTCGAGGAAGCACACGACCGGTTTGGCGGTTGTTGCCGCTCATCAGCTATGCGTACTCGGTACTCCTATGCCCACTCGTCTTCTGACTTGTACACTCCGATGATCTTTTATGTCAATAGGATCTAATTTGAATCGTCTCGATTGTGAATGGATACTGTTGATTGAAGTGCCGACAAATGAATGAGAATTGTCAGTTCTCGTAGTTATTCGTGTCTGGGTCACTGCTAACCCAACGAACAACCAGTTTGCATTTGCAAGCGCTCATCTCATATTCATAGTCAGTAAGTAGTATGTGAACGTGTGTGTGGACGACATTTTCGAGGAAGCACACGACCGGTTTGGCGGTTGTTGCCGCTCATCATCTATGCGTACTCGGTACTCCTCTGCCCACTCTTCTTCTGACTTGTACACTCCGATGATCTTTTATGTTCAATAGGATCTAATTTGAATCGTCTCGATTGTGAATGGATACTGTTTATTGAAGTGCCGACAAATGAATGAGAATTGTCAGTTCTCGTAGTTGATTGTGTCTGGGTCACTGCAAACCCAACGAACAACGAGTTTGCATTTGCAAGCGCTCATCTCATATTCATAGTCAGTAAGTAGTATGTGAACGTGTGTGTGGACGACATTTTCGAGGAAGCACACGACCGGTTTGGCGGTTGTTGCCGCTCATCATCTATGCGTACTCGGTACTCCTATGCCCACTCTTCTTCTGACTTGTACACTCCGATGATCTTTTATGTTCACTAGGATCTAATTTGAATCGTCTCGATTGTGAATGGATACTGTTGATTGAATTGCCGACAAATGAATGAGAGTTGTCATTTCTCGTAGTTATTTGTGTCTGGGTCACTGCTAACCCAACGAACAACGAGTTTGCATTTGCAAGCGCTCATCTCATATTCATAGTCAGTAAGTAGTATGTGAACGTGTGTGTGGACGACATTTTCGAGGAAGCACACGACCGGTTTGGCGGTTGTTGCCGCTCATCAGCTATGCGTACTCGGTACTCCTATGCCCACTCTTCTTCTGACTTGTACACTCCGATGATCTTTTATGTTCAATAGGATCTAATTTGAATCGTCTCGATTGTGAATGGATACTGTTGATTGAAGTGGCGCCAAATGAATGAGAAATGTCATTTCACGTAGTTATCCGTGTCTGTGTCACTGCTAACCCAACGAACAACGAGTTTGCATTTGCAAGCGCTCATCTCATATTCATAGTCAGTAAGTAGTATGTGAACGTGTGTGTGGACGACATTTTCGAGGAAGCACACGACCGGTTTGGCGGTTGTTGCCGCTCATCAGCTATGCGTACTCGGTACTCCTATGCCCACTCGTCTTCTGACTTGTACACTCCGATGATCTTTCATGTCAATAGGATCTAATTTGAATCGTCTCGATTGTGAATGGATACTGTTGATTGAAGTGGCGACAAATGAATGAGAGTTGTCATTTCTCGTAGTTATTCGTGTGTGGGTCACTGCTAACCCAACGAACAACGAGTTTGCATTTGCAAGCGCTCATCTCATATTCATAGTCAGTAAGTAGTATGTGAACGTGTGTGTGGACGACATTTTCGAGGAAGCACACGACCGGTTTGGCGGTTGTTGCCGCTCATCAGCTATGCGTACTCGGTACTCCTATGCCCACTCGTCTTCTGACTTGTACACTCCGATGATCTTTTATGTTCAATAGGATCTAATTTGAATCGTCTCGATTGTGAATGGATACTGTTGATTGAAGTGGCGACAAATGAATGAGAAATGTCATTTCTCGTAGTTATTCGTGTCTGTGTCACTGCTAACCCAACGAACAACGAGTTTGCATTTGCAAGCGCTCATCTCATATTCATAGTCAGTAAGTAGTATGTGAACGTGTGTGTGGACGACATTTTCGAGGAAGCACACGACCGGTTTGGCGGTTGTTGCCGCTCATCATCTGTGCTTACTGGGTACTCATCTGCCCAATCGTCTTCTGACTTGAACACTCCGATGATCTTTTATGTTCAATAGGATCTAATTTGAATCGTCTCGATTGTGAATGGATACTGTTGATTGAAGTGGCGACAAATGAATGAGAGTTGTCATTTCTCGTAGTTATTCGTGTCTGGGTCACTGCTAACCCAACGAACAACGAGTTTGCATTTGCAAACGCTCATCTCATATTCATAGTCAGTAAGTAGTATGTGAACGTGTGTGTGGACGACATTTTCGAGGAAGCACACGACCGGTTTGGCGGTTGTTGCCGCTCATCAGCTATGCGTACTCGGTACTCCTATGCCCACTCGTCTTCTGACTTGTACACTCCGATGATCTTTTATGTTCAATAGGATCTAATTTGAATCGTCTCGATTGTGAATGGATACTGTTGATTGAAGTGGCGACAAATGAATGAGAATTGTCATTTCTCGTAGTTATTCGTGTCTCGGTCACTGCTAACCCAACGAACAACGAGTTTGCATTTGCAAGCGCTCATCTCATATTCATAGTCAGTAAGTAGTATGTGAACGTGTGTGTGGACGACATTTTCGAGGAAGCACACGACCGGTTTGGCGGTTGTTGCCGCTCATCAGCTATGCGTACTCGGTACTCCAATGCCCACTCGTCTTCTGACTTGTACACTCCGATGATCTTTTATGTTCAATAGGATCTAATTTGAATCGTCTCGATTGTGAATGGATACTGTTGATTGAAGTGGCGACAAATGAATGAGAATTGTCATTTCTCGTAGGTATTCGTGTCTGGGTCACTGCTAACCCAACGAACAACGAGTTTGCATTTGCAAGCGCTCATCTCATATTCATAGTCAGTAAGTAGTATGTGAACGTGTGTGTGGACGACATTTTCGAGGAAGCACACGACCGGTTTGGCGGTTGTTGCCGCTCATCAGCTGTGCTTACTGGGTACTCCTCTGCCCACTCGTCTTCTGACTTGAACACTCCGATGATCTTTTATGTTCAATAGGATCTAATTTGAATCGTCTCGATTGTGAATGGATACTGTTGATTGAAGTGGCGACAAATGAATGAGAATTGTCATTTCTCGTAGTTATTCGTGTCTCGGTCACTGCTAACCCAACGAACAACGAGTTTGCATTTGCAAACGCTCATCTCATATTCATAGTCAGTAAGTAGTATGTGAACGTGTGTGTGGACGACATTTTCTATGAAGCACACGACCGGTTTGGCGGTTGTTGCCGCTCATCAGCTATGCGTACTCGGTACTCCAATGCCCACTCGTCTTCTGACTTGTACACTCCGATGATCTTTTATGTCAATAGGATCTAATTTGAATCGTCTCGATTGTGAATGGATACTGTTGATTGAAGTGCCGACAAATGAATGAGAATTGTCAGTTCTCGTAGTTATTTGTGTCTGGGTCACTGCTAACCCAACGAACAACGAGTTTGCATTTGCAAACGCTCATCTCATATTCATAGTCAGTAAGTAGTATGTGAACGTGTGTGTGGACGACATTTTCGAGGAAGCACACGACCGGTTTGGCGGTTGTTGCCGCTCATCAGCTGTGCTTACTGGGTACTCCTATGCCCACTCGTCTTCTGACTTGAACACTCCGATGATCTTTTATGTTCAATAGGATCTAATTTGAATCGTCTCGATTGTGAATGGATACTGTTGATTGAAGTGGCGACAAATGAATGAGAATTGTCATTTCTCGTAGTTATTCGTGTCTGGGTCACTGCTAACCCAACGAACAACGAGTTTGCATTTGCAAGCGCTCATCTCATATTCATAGTCAGTAAGTAGTATGTGAACGTGTGTGTGGACGACATTTTCGAGGAAGCACACGACCGGTTTGGCGGTTGTTGCCGCTCATCAGCTGTGCTTACTGGGTACTCCTCTGCCCACTCGTCTTCTGACTTGAACACTCCGATGATCTTTTATGTTCAATAGGATCTAATTTGAATCGTCTCGATTGTGAATGGATACTGTTGATTGAAGTGGCGACAAATGAATGAGAATTGTCATTTCTCGTAGTTATTCGTGTCTCGGTCACTGCTAACCCAACGAACAACGAGTTTGCATTTGCAAACGCTCATCTCATATTCATAGTCAGTAAGTAGTATGTGAACGTGTGTGTGGACGACATTTTCTATGAAGCACACGACCGGTTTGGCGGTTGTTGCCGCTCATCAGCTATGCGTACTCGGTACTCCAATGCCCACTCGTCTTCTGACTTGTACACTCCGATGATCTTTTATGTCAAT